GTACCCTAGCACAAGTGACTTTCTAAATAACTGGGAAACTTTCTATGAACTTTTGGCAATATTTTCTCCACTGCTTGAGATATGTAACTGCATATGATTTTTTACCCAATCTGTAGCTTTCTTGCCCTGTTCTTAGCTATGTTCCCAAGGTATTTGGTATAGAGATTAAAAACTAATATTGAGATATGTTTCTTTCTAAGTTGGCAAGCTTTTCAAAATCATCCTCAAATAAAGGATGAAGGAAAGCCCAAGGAGAAATTGTACTTTGTGACAGGAGCTATCTCTGCCTTCAAGTTGAAGGAAAAAAAAAAAACTCTGATTAAAAGAGTTTAGAGCTGGGCACAGTGGCGCACACCTATAATCCTAGCAGCTTGGGAGGCTAAGGCAGGAGGATCACAAGTTCAAAGCCAGCCTCAGCAACCGCGAGGCACTAAGCAACTCAGTGAGACCCTGTCTCTAAAATAAAATTCAAAACAGGGCTGGGATGTGGCTCAGTGGTCCAGTGCCCCTGAGTTCAATCCCCTGTACCAAATAAATAAATAGAAGAGTTCAAGTGCAGGAGCTATAGCCTCACTTTGCCGATAGCACAGAACCCTTTTATATGAGCTGCCCCAACATTCGTGTTTACAACCACCCCCACCATGCACATAAAACCCCTTTTCTACTTTTCCTGGTAACATGAATCTCTTTCCAGGGGCAAAGCTAAGGGTATATTAATAAAAGAACCAAATCAGCAGTATGAGGCTCTGGAAACTGTGCACTGAATTGAGCCCCGAGGCTGAAATAACCTACAAATTATTCCCATAATAGTGGTTGATCTCCCTTGCTTTAACCTCACCCCCTACACACCCAGGTTTCTTTCAAATCCAGCCCCTCCAGAACTATGTGGATTACAATAAGTAGAATACAGAAAATGCCCTTATGGATCCCAAACAGCAGTAATTTCCTCTGAAAAGGTTCATTTTGTGCTTTATCCCACATAAGTACCATAAAAAATTCCCATAACAAGAAGACACAGAGGTATTCATGAATAAGGTCTTATGTTTCCACAAAAGAACTTCATACAATGTGACCTATGGGGTATTTAGATTCTAGTAGCAATTTTATGGCCTTGAAAGTCCCTTCAAAAGGAATTCATGTAAGAGGAGTGTAAGGAAAAAAGGGCCTCCTTGAAACCAATCGGATGATCATCTAACTTGTATGGTGAAGAAAGAATGGCCAGAATCAGGATATGGTTTAGAAATATTCCTAATGAGGGGTCTAATTGGAAAGATTAAAAAAAGTTGCTCACTTTTTATTACAGCCATTGATATCTTTCCATGTCCTTCTCAGGGTCAATAGCAACACTAATAGGATAAATATAATACTCAATAGGAGACTTTGGAGAAAGCAAGGCTTATTTAAATACAACCCTAAAGAAAGGCTCAGTTTAAATCCAACCCTGAGTGCAGTGGCTGTGTGCCTCAGTGTCTGTTCCTGTCTTCCTAAGTGTTAGCTTTACCAAACACAGTCCATGTCGATATGTTAAAATACGGACACACAATCCAATTCATTGCAGCTCTAAGGATTAGAATGACTCATCCTGTCAAATACTTTCAAGATGGTGGCATCAGTGAGAGCTCCGTAAAAGATAGCTGCTGACATTACAATAATGTTGCTGCTCTTAAGGTGCTTAGGCATAGCCTCATTTACAAGATTTCCAATTAATAGATAAAAAGCTATGCCAGATGCATCAAACAAAAGTCTGCAAGATATATAGAAGAATATTTTTAAGACCTTTGAGCATGCAGATGTTCAAAATAGGCTACCCAATGCGCTACTCATCAAGGATGATTTGAGAAGTGAGAATACAACAAATGACACCTTTAAGGAAGCAAAAGATAACAAACACACTGTGTAAAAAAGATACTTGTAATGAATGTCATTTAAAAGAGAGAAAAATAATATAGAAAATATGTAAAGAATTGCCATGAATCGCAAAGACAGAAAACTCAATGGAAAATAGGCAGGAGATGGAAAAAAAGTACTTCACAAAAGTGAATGGTATTGAAATGGCTATCAAACACATGAAAAAGTGCTGAACTTCATGCTAAAAGTGTAAAAAAAGAAAAAGATCTGACAATTCCTGGTATTGTTGAGGATGAGGAGCATGTGGAATTCTCCTTGGTTGCTGACGGGACTGACATCATTTAAACCATTTTGGAAACTGGTAACCATTTTGGTGGTATCTGGTAAACCTGAGCATGCACCTGTACCATGGCCTAGCAATGCCATTCCCAAGAAGAGACCAAATAGAAATATGGGCAAAAGAATCCTGAGAAAAGTTACGGAGTGCTCGTAGAACACTGCTTATGATTCTCCAAAAGCTGGGAACAACCCAAATGTATCCATGGAAAAGGCCACCATATGTCCCAGTTGTCTTAGGACTACCTCAGCTCACAACTTTCATCCTGGCATAATTATCAAACATCTCATCTCTAAAGTGTCTTTGTGAATGCTGTCAGCATCAATGGGGAAGTTAGAACTTCCAGGGAACCATTTTTCCATAAGAACACTGGACAAATTTCAAAATGAATATTACCAGCATTTTGGAAATCAATCAAAGTCTTGCAATAATCTGAGATGCATTTATTAGAGACGAATGGCTAAATCTCAGTAACAGGTTCTGTGGCATTTCCACTTGCCCCATTCCCATGTCCATCTCCAAATCTGCACAATCACACGGAAACGAACAGCCTAACAACTACTGGTGGGAACAGAATGGGTTTGGAACTTCATGCTAAGATCCATTCTCAGAGAACTGTCACTACCCACTCTGTCTAGCACATCCCAGGAAACCCCATTCACGGGGCTTGCCATTTTTTGACTCAGATCTCACTCATGCTAACAGTCTCCTCCAGGGATACTTGTGAAAAACTATTAATATCACAGCTGCCTGAGGCAGTGATAAAAGGTGGGTCAGACAAGAATTTGACCAATAAACTTGAGGGAAAAAAAAAGGCATAAGATTTCCATAGGGAGCTTTGAGAAACCCTGGCATAGTTAGGGGAATTTAGAGGTTCACACACTTGCATTGAGCTGTACATGTCCAGAAAGCCCTGAGAAGGCCCTCAGCTCATCCTCTGACTGACCAAATGGTTCTGTGAAAGTACCAAAAGAGAAATAGACTTCCTTTTTCATGAACTACATATAAATTCTGGAATTGAAATAGAAAATAACCAAATGGGCTCAACAATCGATTTGAGTTGGCAGAAAAATAAATTAGTGAACTTGAGGTCAATCAACTGAGATTATCCAGTCTAAGAAAAAAGATTAAAATTGACTCTCAAGTGACCTGCAGCTTAAGTATATGAATTTAAACCAAAAAGGGGTTACAGAAGGAAAGGAAAGGGAGAAAAGGAAGATTGAAGAAATATCTAAAAACTTTCCAAATGTGATTTATAAACATACACACACGCATGACTACACATACAAGGACCACAGTGAATTCCAGGTAAAGTAAACTCAGATTGATTCTATATACATCATAATCAAACTTCGTAAAAAAAAAAAAAAACCATAAAATCTTAAAAGTATCAAAGAAGCAACCCACATAAAATGGAAGCCTCATAAGATTAACAGCTGAATTCTTAACAGAAACTATAAAAGTCAGTAGGCAGTGGGAGGACATTTTCCAAGCGCTGAAATAATACTGTTAATTAAGAATACTATATCCAGCAAAACTATCTTTTGAAAATAAAGAAGCAATTAAGCCATTCCTAGATAAACAATGTCCTGCTTGCATCATAGAAGACATGTTCATGGTATTCAACTATGGTATTCAAGGCTGGTGTGGATATGTGGGTAGGGGAAACTAATACTCTGCCTGAAACTTCCATTTCTTGTCCAGGTTGGTGGTTACATATTTACTTTGTAACAGTTCACTGGGCAGTGCATTTATGTTTTGTGCACTCTATTTCTGTGTGGTTTCCTTCACAGATTTTAATAGAGAAAACACAGACACTTTGTCTTTATGTAAGAGAAATCGACATACTTTATGCTTCTTACTTTAATTTCCCAAATAGAAATAACTTACAAAACTTGATGAAATAAACTATTTCTTCGCTCTATACCTTTTTTTTTTTTAGCTGTTTCCTTGCATAGAATATTCTCACTGTTCATTTCACTCAATTTATCCCTGTTCTTCCTTACTGTCTGGGCCTTACCACAATGTAAAGATTTGTTCCTGTGTCTGTGCCTCCCATGACAAGTGAACATTTTTAAGGGTGGAAACTACGTTAAGAGGGATTCTCAACAGCCCTGTGTATAGGACAGATGCAGTATGGAATGAAAGTTTGAGTGATTAATTCATTAATGGGATAAACAAGGAAGGCCTTCATGACTGAAAACCACCAAATATTCTTGCAGGATGTATCCCAATTAAAAAAAAAAAACTCAGGATTCCTTATAACAGCAAATATTAACCCTAAAGCAGGAAAACTATTTTTTAAAAAATTAGCAGTTAAACTTATAGAACGCTAGGTAGTGAGCTCTGATAAAATGAGGAAGAGAAACTATTTATGGACAGCAAGTCCTTTCTGGGATTTCATTATGATACTTTATGATTAATATTAGAAAAGAACAGATTATGATACAAAAAAATTTTGACAGCTAATCATGTCTAAATTAAGGATCTCATGATCCTTTCTTAAATGCTACACAAATGGTACTGAAGGTACGTGAAGAAATTCTCCAACTCACAGCAAACTCGGCAAGTTTCTCAAACCCAACTCATAGCTCTCCTCAGGCTTCACTCTGAAAACCTCTGGATGGGATCTCTCACTCCTGGAACTCATTAGAGATGTATATTCTGTCATTCGCCCCCTTTTGTTTCTATAATGAACAACAGACAAATCCCACCACTAAAATGAAAAAGGGGGGTGGGAGGGGTATTCAGGCAGGAAAGGAAGGTATCCCATCCAAAGGTTAGAAATGTCCTGCAAAGCAAGTGTCCAACCAACCTGAAACAGGAAGGCATCGCCCAGGGAATTGCTGAGGCAGAAGACGAAGTCCTTCTTGGGGTGCTCGGGCACAGCCTGCACAATGCTGTTCTCCACCCAGACGGCGTGCTTGGGGATGCTGTTGTGATCAATTCCAGACCTGCCGTCACTCTCATAGAAAAAAAGCGTGCACCCTGAGGAAGCAGAACAGCGGGCCGTGTCAGTATTCGACATTGGGGCAGTGAAAAGTCAGTCTAAAGTGTAAGCTAACATTTATTAGCAGGAAAGGGCCAGACATTAAAGTGTGCAGAACCCAGGAAATAAAGAGAATGGGGTCATGCTTGTACTCAGGTTTATGATTGGCCTAGATAAAGGTAAAGATCTTAAACCACAGCTTCTAAACTAGCAAGGAGCTTTGCACATGGCTTCAAGTTCTTTGAGAATCTTACTTCCTGTGTTGGCATGTTAAGCTATGAGCATCCTTATAGGCATATGGGGGTCCTGAGGCTCCTTTGCCCAGCAGTGACTGCAAATGTGGCTCCCAGGTTCTAGGGTACTGTATCCAGTAATGGGTGAAGACTCAGCAGTCATTACTGCTCAATTGAAGCCCATTTCCAATGTCTCACATGACAGGAAACCAGGAAATGGATTTAGTTTTTGGACCACACCCTTGGAGAAAAAATATATAATACTGGCTTTAGGTGCAATCAGGGTAAGAAAAGAGATGATACATTGTGGTCTCAGATCTATCTATATGTGGTTTTTGTTTTTTTCTAGAAATAAGCCATGTTCATGTCCTGTTCTGAGAAAGGGGAAATGCACGGCACACATAAGGAGGTCTAAGGGAAGCCAGAATCCTGGTCCATACGTATCTACACTATAAAACTGAGACAGTAGCAATAGAGATATTTCATAGCTTTGGGGTAAGAGGTCTTCATTAGAGTCTTCCATGATCACCTGAACTGGAAGCTCATTTTAATAGCAATTACTAGCTGAACACTTACTCTCAACTAGTTGCAACCAATTTCAGGGAAGCCTGGGTACACTTGTATACCTCTTCCTCAACTTGCACATTCCTTACCTCCAGCAAGTACCACGCTTTTGGGGAACTGCAGAGCCTGTGAATGTACAACCTCTTTGGTTGCAGTATGAGTCTGTAAAGGAAATTTGTTCATATGCAGTATGTAGAATAATGAAGATCAACAGAAAAGTCGTATTGCCTCAGAGGCAATGTTTCCTCGCCCATAGTATTTCACATTTCCTCGTGACAGCTGCTGAGAGCAACATCCCTAAATGCAGATCCATGGAGAATACTGGTCTGCCCGGCCTACTCACTTCACACTGCCCCTGCCCTTGGCTCAGTTTAACCACAGGCTCTGCTTAAAGTCCTGGTAGGGGCTGGGGTTCTGGCTCAGTGGTGGCGTGCTTGCCTAGCATGTTTGAGGCACTGGGTTTGATTCTCAGCACCACATACAAATAAAATAAAGGTCCATCAACAACTAAAAATATAAATATATATTATATATAAAGTCCTTGCAGCACAGAGTTCCTGAGCTTTATAACTTCATACCTGTTGTCCTTGTCTCCATGATTCAGGAGTCTCCATTATACCCTCTACCAATTTAAGTTACACTTGCTTTTCTTTTTAAGGATAAAGTTTTCTGGTCATTTTTTAAAAAGAGACAATGTCTTATGGTGCTTATTTTTATAAATTTTTAATAAAGCTTAATAGAACAATTCTTAAATTTGGGGTTCTAAATTGCTTACATATGACTTACACTCATACTGTTCAGTGTTCTACCTCAACACTGTTTTCCCCATAATCCCTGTGATTTTGGAGATCTCAAGAGTTTTCAAGGAACAGTTTAATCAAAACACTAAACCATCTGTACCTCCTAGTCTCATGCCTTAAGAATGGAAATTCACTCAGTAGAGATAAAGAAACATAAGAAAAAACAAAAACGGAAAGGGACACTATTTTCCTCTAAATCAAAGGTTCTCTGTGGACAAATTGACAACGCCTGCAGACATTTTTGATTGTCACAACTTGGTGGGGAGGTGCTACTGGCATCTAATGAGTAAGAACAGGCATTATACAGGTGTGTTCTTAAAGGTCCCCAAAGGCCCATGTGTTGGACACTCAGCCACCAGGGATGGGGCTACAGGAAGGTGTTAGAACGTTTAAGAGGTGGGGCTTAGTGGGAGGCCTTTAGGGTTTATAGGGCATGGATTAGAAGGGATAATGGGACCTTTAAGGGATAATGAGTCCTTTCTCTTCCTCTCCTTTTTGCTCCCCAGCCAGAAGGTAAGTGGCTAACTGTGCTACTCACTCTCAACATGCCGTACGACCCTGCCACAGGACCAAAAGCAACAGGAACAACCAACAAAATGGACTCAAATCTCCAATACTTTGAACAAAAATAATCTTTTTCTGTTTATAAGTTGTTGATTATCTCAGGTATTTTGTTATAGTAATAGAAATCTGATGAACACAAATAAGAAGGCTGTTGAGCATTGTATGCCCAGGGAAACCCCCAGAATAAAGAATTATCTGGAAAATGTCAACAGTGCTACTGTTGAGAAAGGCTGCTCTAAATAATCCTTATGACTCATCCAACCCTAATGATCTGTACTTAACACAAAAGAAGCAACACACTTTACTGCAGGTGGAGAACAGAAAAATAAGTCTATATGTAATGAATTAGGGGGCACCCACAATCCTAGCATGTGCACATAACAGTCCTTCCAGATAGCTGTTTTTAGACATTTTTAGCTTTTATTTGGAATCATCCACAACAGGAGGTGTTTGAAATTGGCTTTTACTCAATGATCAACTTGTTCTAATTTTAAGACTAACAAGAAGCAGCAAATCCAAGAACCACATACTCCCTGTTCAAAGTCTGTTTACCTTTATCTTCCCTTGAACATAAGCTCTAAGCTCTTCAGCTACTCATGAAATTATTTGCAAGATTCATTCTAGATAGCTTTTCTCTTAATTATTTATTTTGTGTAATGCAAAAGAATCTCTGGGAGAAGTCTCTATCCCAGTTTCCAGTGGTTCAGCCTTTTCTTTCTAAATATCCAAGGATTGCTAAGAAAGTCAGCAGTGAGTCTTGTTTCTGAGTGGCAAGTACAAAGCCCGGAGTGTGTCTGCAGATAATGGGAACCTGTCAGGATTAAGAAGTGAAGGGCTCTGTGGCTGCATGTTCTGAGCTGACTCCTGACAGGTTGTGTCACTCAGATCTGGGTCACCCAGAGAGCAAAGGCTTCCTCCTCTAATGGTCTCATGGACTATGCTCCCAAAAGCCTGCGCCCTGGCTTCCTATGTCATTTATCCTTTAAGGAAATGGCAGGGGAAAAGAACTCCCATACACACCATGTCCCAAGTAAAAACAGTCACCTAATGATTTCTGTTCTATGCCACCATCATCGCTTTCAAATTTAAAGCAAGAATCACCAGAGAAGCTTGTTTAAACCACAAATTCAGGCCTGTTACAGATGAATTCTGTCCCTCAAAACTCCTATGTTGAAGTCCGAATCCCCACTACTTCAGAATATGATCATATTTGAAGATATAAACTTTAAAGGGATAATTAAGGAAAAGTGAGGTCATATGGGCAGGTGATCGTCTAATATGACTGGTGTCTTTCCAAGAAGATGGAATTTGGACACAGGTCTGGAGAGATGGCCACATGAAGATACTTGAAGAAAATGGCAATCTCTAAGCCAAGGACAGAGGCCTTAGGAGAAACCACCCTCGCTAACACCTTGGTCTCAAACTTGCGGCCTCGAGGACTGGGAGACAATACATTTCTGTTATTTACAACTCCCAGTTTGCAATCCTGGCCGCACTGTCAACAGAACCAGGTGTTGCTACGAGGGGATTGGGCATGACATGCTCTTCTTGCTTAACCATGAAAAACAGTAAAACAAAACAGAACAACAACCAACCAAGCCTCATTTGCAAGAGATGGGGGGACAGGGCAGGGGAAGTCCTAATTAAGAGGCTTCGGGTTCCAGTGGAGGCAGTTGAATAAGTTCTGGAGTTCTGTCTGAAATGTTGCACACAGAGTCAACAAGAGTGTATCACACATTAGAAATCAGTAAGGGCAGACTTAATGTTATTATGGTCTTGCCACAGTAAAATAAAACATTAAAAACTTCACACGAAATAATTCTACACCATAACACAGAAACCTCCACCAGGTGAGGTCCGAGGCTCATCAGTGGTGCATATTACACGCAGCCAGCGCCCAACCCCCCTTACCTTTCAGGGACACCCAGTAGTGCTTCCACTTCCTGCGGGTGGCCGACTCCACTTTCTTGTTCTTCTTGTGCACCAGAAAGTTCTTGACCGCCAGGGCGCCGGCCTTGCGCACCGTGCCCTGCGCGGCCGTCAGCAGGATGTCGGACTGGCCCGGGGAGCTCAGGGTGCCGCTGCTCTGCTCGTCGCTGTGCGCGGAGCCGGCTTCCTCCAGGCTCTCGCTCTTGGTGGTACTCATCTCCAGCTCCCGCCTGAAGTTCTCGTACACCCCCTGGCGAGCTGCATCCCCCGTGGAGCTGCTGCCGCTGTCGCTGCCCACGAAGGCCCTGCCCGTGGGGGGCGAGTCACTGGAGTTGGTGGCATTGGATCGCCTGGACAGGAGGTCCGTGTCGGTGGTGGCCCCTTCGATCCCGCTGTCGGCAAACTCGCTGCCCTCGCCTGCATTAACATCCTGGGGCGCAGAAAGGGGAAGAGAGACATGCATCACGGAAGCAGGAACCTAGGAGCCCCCAAAGGTCTGGCCAGGGACTCTGTAGCCGCAGGAGACCCACAGGGCATGGCAGCTGGCCACTCCTCCTGGACCAATTCCTTATTACCCCAGCCACCTCGGAGCTGTTCAGGAAACCTTGAGCCACCCAGCACGAAGGCAAACAAACCATTTGGAATGTTCAAGAAGCAGAAAAGAAACAGGGGGCACTTCCAAGAGCTGATCATTTACCTGACTTAGATAAGTAGCTAATTGGCAAATCTGCTATTGAGATTCTCCCATGTCCATGCTGAGAGAACTCAGCTCCCGCACCCTCACAGCTGGCCTTGAACTCCAGGAAATCCCACAGGCAGATTAGCTCCTTGTTCCAGAGGTAGGGGGTTACAATGCATAACTAGGTGCTCACAGCGGATGTGATTTTTCTTTTCTTTTTAAAATAAAAGGCCTGCCTAGGAGTCTGTTTTATAATAGGGTGACTAACCAGATAGTGTACCGCCTCACCCACTCACCCAGCAGGACCCTGTGTCCCAGGAGCCAGCAAGAGTCCTCATGCCCTAATCAGCCTCCTTCTTGAAAACAGCAGTCTCACTCCACATTGTACTAAATCAGACTGTGGGCCCCAGCTCGGACTCCTGCTCTCCAATTACTTTGCCCTTTCAAAGTGGGGATGCCAAGAGCCAGAAGCAGGTGACTCATTGCCCCTGGGCCAAATAACAGTTCAGGGCAACTGCCAAGATACTGGGTATCGATTCTCACTTTTAAAACATTTGGAACTTCTAAGTGCCCCTGTTCTCCAGTCAAACGTTTCCAGGGCAGACTGGTCTGTTCCTAAATCAGAATTTTAATTGCTCTAAAGTGCTACAAGCATTTCCACAAACAATAATTAAATAATGGTAGCCATCAAGGGGAGACAACGACAGCAGTATTGGACAGGACGACCCAACATTGGATAATGGATAAGGAAGGACACTGACTTTTATCAAAGGAAGACAGCAGGAACAAGTCTGACACAGAGGGGATGGCAAAGGAATACACAGTTTGATGACTCTTCAATTTTGGAGCTTTTACTAATTATTGAAACGTGTTAAAATAAACTGGATATTCTGGATTGTCATAAGTAGAAATGCTTTGGATGCCAATCTGTGCCGAAAGGCAATTGGGCCCAAAGAGCCATGCCACAAACTGATATTGCCCCGTGTAAGGCCCAGACAGGTGCCATGCCCACATCTCCATGAGTCTTACTTAGTTGTTCCAACTTAGAATTGTTCAAAGGTCATCATGAAAAATTCTAAGTGAGCAACTAAAAGAGGTGCAGAGCCAGACCTGGAGAAAGGTGGGAAAGGGCGGTGGAATGGTAGCAGGGTGTATCTGGACAAGCTTCTGAGGACTGGGTCCATTTCAAGTAGAGTTCAGACCTCTGGGAGTTAATAGGGACTTAAGGGGACTCTTAACCCTGTGCTATGATTTGGACATGGTTTGTTCTGCAAGGGTTTATATGTTGGAAGCTTGGTCCTCATTGTGACAATGGAGAGAGCTGATGGAAGTTCTAAAAGGAGGGGTCCAGTGGGAAACAATTAGGTCACTGGGGGTACCACCCTTGGAAAGGATTAATGCTAGTCTCTTGAGTTATTCTTGCAACAGCAATTTGTTATTAAAAAGTATGCCTGACCCCTGTATCTCTATGGCTTCCTTTCTTGTCATGTGATCTGTCTCTCTAATATGGGCTTCTACCGTGACTTTCCAGAAAGCTCCCACTAAAACAGCAGATGCTGGTATCATGCTCTTGTACCTCTAAAACTATGAACTACTTGAACCTGTTTTCTTTACAAATTAATCAGCCTCAGGTGTTTTATTTTAGTCATGACAATTGGGCTAATACATCCTGTAATTGCTGGTCCCATCTCTTTGCTATCTGTTCTTGTGCCTATTTACAACCATGAATGGTCATAAAGAACCAGATCCAGTTGGTAAAAATCCTCTATACAAACAGAAGAACACTGTAATCAACCCACCTTTCTCCCTAGCAGGACATTTACCATATGCTTCCCTGCGAATATAAGACAATAAGGAAATTTGACAACCATTGATTATAGATAACCATGAGTCATGGAAGATAAGAAGTCCGTGAATTTCCCAAACTTCTGGCTTCATTGTCATATGTCTCAACCCTTCCCTGATGTGGGTTAGGTATGTGTAAAGGAATCAGCTATAATTGCTCTTCTCTGAAATGCAAAGAGGTGCGAGGCTTTATATATAGGCCACACAGACAGCATTGCTAGTCCAGAGAGACTTAAGTACAAAGCAGGTGAGAATTAACCCTAGGCATCTTTTAATTTCCAAAGTTCCACAACAAGAAGGAACACTACACGGACATCTCCCGATTAACAGGTAAGAATACTGGAAATCATAAATCTGGCTGGTGGCAGGCTAGAGTTTGGCACCTGCGCTTCTGAGTATCTTTCCCACTGTTATATGGCAGTCCCATGGTAGAGCACCTGATTAGATTTTGCCTAAACATTCAGCTCCCTGCCCTCCTCTTGGTTACACAGTGCCTTCTAGGATTTCCCAGGAAAAACTGGGTAATGGTCCATCCATGTGCCTTGATTTACCCAGCAAAGAGCTAAATGCTGAAAGTGGAGGTAACCAGGCCAACTCTCAACCAGGTCAACTCTCTTACTGGTTCCTACCGCCCTACGAACCATTCACCTCTTTACAGATACCCGAAACTCTCTCACCATGTAAACAAAGCGTTAAGGCCTCTGAGGACACTCACCTCTGTCTCACATCTGAACATCTGCTCATGCCACTGTCACGGTAACCGTGCAGTGGCCCAGGCTGTGTGTGTTCAGCTCTGAGATGGCCATCAAACTAGGCCAGGAAGGGATTCCTCCAGGTAGGAGGCTGGCTGGCCACAGCTGAGCAGGCACATGTGACGTGGTGTGATGCTAGGCAATGCTCTGGGACCTGTGACCCAGGACGACTCCACCTCATCCCTAGAAGTGGATTATCAGGCTTGGCCACACACATCCCCCAGCTGATAGGTGACCCAACCCATTGGGAAGCAGATGCCTGCTGCCCTGCCCCAAATCTTATGAAGTCGTGAAGCTTGGCTGTCCCAAATATCCAGAAGCCCATCCCCTAGTGTGGAGAATGGGAGGACCCAGCCAGGGTCACTGCTCAACACTGTTCTTTCTTTCCTTCGCTGTGACATAACATTTTCTGTGGTCAACTTCTGGGAGGCTCCTCCTCCTCCTATTTACCTTGATCTCCAGGACATTTCACAACAGAGAACGTTGATTCTCCCCATACCCAGGGCATCTGTCAACCTCCCACCTCTTCTCGACCTCCAGCAATACAGAAGACTGATGCTCGCAATGAGGTCACATGGGAGGCTCTGCAGTCTTCGTAGCAAAGGCAGGGTATGTTCCTTCTTACCAAACGAAACGACTCGGCATCTGGTTTTTCCTCAACTATTTAGCCAAATACTAAATTTTAACCTAAAATGTCAGAGGAGGGCTGGGGTGTGAACTCAGTGGTACAGCGTTTGTCCTGAATGTGCTAAGGCACTGGATTTAATCCTCAGCATTGGAGGGGTGGGGGGTCAGAAGAAATCAAAGGAAGTGGTAAGATCCTAGCCAAACAGAGAAACAGTCCCCCAATATGGTACATGACCCAACAGAAATTTCCAGAAAACTACTCTTTAAAAAAAAAAAAAAAAAGCTCTCCATGTTAGAAATGCTCCACTGAAGAGCCTTCCAATTATGAACATTCATGGGCTGGGAAGGTTCTTAAGTCCTGCTCTTCCGGGACAAATCCTCTCAAATCAGATTTTCAGAGCACTCACCAGTTTCCATTCTCTTGGCAGTTCCTCAAAATGAATGTATGTACCTCCCTCCTGGATGTACAAGTGGCCAGCTGTGGCCCCAAACATGCAAGAGCTGCAGGGCAAGAGTCTTCTTAGTAATTTAAGCCGGGCAGCAAATGCTCAAATGACTTCCTACAGTAAACTGGGGAGGCAAGAGGCGAAATCAAAGCCTGTTTTCACTGCCTTGGAACCTGGAGGGTCACCCAGCCAGAATATGGACTGGTGATACATTGTAGCGAGGCTCAAAAGTTTCCACAGGAGACTTGCAAACATAAGTACTCCAGGGAGAAGATTTTCTGTGTTGATATGCAGACACAATTGTGAAAAGGTAATTAACTACCAAGTGCAAGGGCTCTGGGACAATTCAGGGACAGCAGAATCAATTGGTCACTTATAGTTACAAGTCAAATGCAATTAAAAACTGCTTTTTGATCACCTTAATTTCCCCAAGGGATCCAGCTTAGCCTGAACATACCTGTGCAGAGAAGCTAAATATAATGTAGGAGAATTCACTGAATTTCAGTGGGGCAAGGGAATTTTGAACTGTAAAAGCCTTAAATTAGAACTATTTCTGCTTTATTAAATTCTAAAATGTTCCTCCTCTTGTTTTTCTCTTTCTTATCACCAAAATGTAAGAATCGTCCTCCCACATGTACCCATAGACACCCACTCATACACACACATGCACACACACACACACACCCCATCTTTGGTTCTCAGCAATGCCCTTGGTTTGCTCACATACCTATAGTGATATCAGGAGAACAAATATCAATTCTAGGTAAATTATTCTGCACCATTCTGTGCCTTACTTTGCTCATCTGTACAATGAGGATGGGAAATGGTCAATCTTTTAAGACACTTTTTAAGATGCTGTGTAACCCAGGAAAAGTGTCTAGACTGGTATTCAGCACACAGGAGCAACTCATAAACGCCAACTGTAATTACCGTCATCTCCACCTTCAGCCTTACTTAACACTTGAGCCACTGGAGGGAAGGCACTGCCTGACCTCAGCTCCGAGCTTCTGGTGCTAACATGTTAGAAGGGCTGAGGAATCTGGGGAAAATAAAGTCTCATGGGGAAAACAGAAGGAGCCTA